GGTTTCTGCCCTCCAGACCATGAAGCTGTTCCTCCAACGTGTCCAACTCCGCTCGCTTCCTTTGGCGATACCTGTTAAAAAATGATTAATACAGAGGATATTCCGTTTTACTTACAGAAGGTGTGGTCTTTTAAATCCCACAAGCAGCTACTTCATAATGCCCGCAGGCACTGTAGTCTGAAGCATAATATTTTGTACTTTCATGACTAAGTGTAACTTCAGAACCCCACCAAATTTTCTATGCTCACTTGTCAAGAATACAATTGACCCCATTGTGATTCTGAAAGTACTCTACCTGTGAGCTGCAGTCTTGTTCTGGTCTCTCTTCTTCTGTTTGCGTTCACCATGGTTCACTTGGATTAGTGGCACCTCGAGGTCTGGTTTCACAAAGCAGGGGTCTTCTTTCAGCACACAGACTCCTCTGGCACACGGGGACCCCATTTCAGGTCCGTGGTGGTCACCGCTCAGGCAGTCGGGGCTTTGGCCTTCGAGAAAGCCACAGTGGAAGTTATGTTGCCGGTGGATCTCTACGCTCTCCACCTTCACTGGGTCATTGATGGCCCCAAGGAAGCTGTGGTAGGCCTCTTCTTGGGATGTACCTTGGAGGAAACAGCTTTCGTTGGGTTCCGTCTTCCAGGAGATGTTGGCCTTCGCATCGCTAGCACCATTCTTGGCTTCGCTCATCATCTCCATCTCCGCACTTACTCCTATGCCGCTTAAATTGACTTCTCTGGTGCCGTACATCATCATTTCATCTTTCTTGTGGGGAAATTGAATGGATCCGCTAAAGTTGTACCCACCGCCGCCACTGCCGGCCTTGCTCACACCGACGGCCTCTTCCGTGTAGCGGCAGTTCTTCTCCTCTTTGGGTAAAATGGCGCACCTCCTGATCTCCACTGCACTGCCTAGGCAGTAGCCTTTGCCTACCACCCGCTCATCTTCAGCACAGCTGTAGCTCCCACCAGGTGCCACAGCTGAGTTACCTGAGGAATTTCCTTTGGAACTCCAGATGCTACTCTCATAGCTGTCACCCACCCTCACCCCATCGGAAACTCTCTTGCGGCTGCAGGCGTTGCTGTTGGGGCGGCTGCAACTGTAAGGGGCATGTCTAGGAATCTTGGTACGGCCAATGGGACCCCCACAAAAGCTCAGCAAGTCAAGTTCTCCAGTTGCCAGGGTAATAAGTAGAGGGCTGGTTTCGGATTGGTTGGAAGAAGAATATGATGCGTAGGGCAACTGGTAATACGACGGTGGACCAACTGCCGTTGGACCCTGGTCGCATTTGCCCAGTTTGGATGCTTTTTCTGGGAGTGGGTCAGACAGGAAGTAATCCTCCAGCTGA